ATTATAAATAAAGTACAATAAATGTCATCACAAATCGCTCTATTATCAAATCCAATCTTAATTCTAAAACTACACTCCAGATATTTTCAAGTTAATTGGATCAGGCATACATCTTTACCCATCACATGTGTTTCATTCTTATAAAGAGTGACAATTATGAAAACAAAATTTAGTCGTAATCCTTGCACAATTCTAACATTATTAACTACTAATAAAGATGAAGTATAGATGATCTATAGATAGTTAAACCACTAAAAAAATTGATGTCATATATAAAAATTGAATCTCTTGATTAGATGACATGTTAAATTTAATCTTAGAGGAAGATTTATTTATAAAAATTAATCTAAAAACTAGTTATTACGAAGTTACAGTTCAATCAAAAAGGGAACGAAGAACTAATTTAAAATCATTGATTGACTCAATGAATTATTGGTGATGTCATTTGAACTTTTAAGTGTCGCTAGCATTTTCTTGAGATTAATGAACAGTATTCTCTAATCATTCATAAAAAAATTGAATTATCTAAACCAATACTATCTTGATTTTTAGCCTAATTGAGATGACCATCAACAACACTTCAAACAAGTCGTTGAAACTATTATGAAAAAAAAGTGCTCTATCAACTTGAAGAAGTGTTTCTTCTTATAAATCGATGCAACTTTTTTAAGATCTTTTTTTTTTTGCTAAAATAAAATCTAATCATCCTAAAGTTCAAGTAATCTTAAACTAACATTCACCTAGGAGTTCCATCAACGCACATAATTTCCATGTTCTAGCTATTTTTTTACAGAAATTTAAATCAATAATTTAGTACGGTCACTGCCCAGTCACTAAACTTCGAAGTAATAAGTGAAACTTCCAAACTTGGAATTGATAAAATTTCAAGTTAAAAAAAAAATCATCTAGTAGTTTTCTAAGAAACTAAATGAGGCAAAATAATGATGTTTAACTTAAAATAGAGAATTTAGATAGTCATCCAAACTTCGAACACTAGCATCAATATTTATAAATAATTCATTCATGCCCCAAATTCATCAATACGTAATGAACATTAAGTGATAAACATGCCAAATGGATTGAATTTCTCCAAGAATATTTCTTTGTTCTCAAACATAAACCTAAAGTTGAAACAAATCTACTAATGCTTTATCTAGAATGACTTCGACCATCCTTCTCTAAAACTCAAAAGTTTAGAATTTTGATGATTTAGATATGAAATTTTCATTTGTCTTGATTTTCGCTTGATTTACTTTGAACACCAGATAAGCTTTGAGCTTGCCAACAACATCCTCTATAATCAATGAATATCGGAGGAAAAAATAATTTTTTATTCCTAAAAATTCAAATTTTAATCTTTAAATTGCATTTAAGTATTTTAATCTCTAAATTATATTCCAAAGGAATGGCTAAACATTTTGCCAAAGATAAAACTACTTGTTTGGAGAATTTGATTCAAAAGCAAACAAAAAAAAAATTTGGTTAATATATCGCTCTGTCTATTCCTTGTAAGCCTTAACAAGATCTCTCCATGAATTTCATCTTAAGAGTGTCCCACAAAACTTGAAGGCGTGACAGCATTTTAGTGAATTTTAATTAAAGATGTATCATTTCCTACTATACTCCAAAACCAATGATGCCTCACCTTGTTATGTTATTTTTTAAGAAAATTGTATGATTATATGACATTTGGTCCAATTATAATGTTCAATTTATTTCAAATTTCTAAATGCATTGTAGAAATTATTAGGCACTAAACTAAAATTTTAATCTACTTTTCATCCTCAAACTGATGACTAAATTGAGATGGTTAATACTAAAAGTTGCTTGTTAGAAAAAAAAAATTCAAGAAATTGAGACTTGCATTTGCTTATATTTAAATTTTTATACAATAGTATTGTTTCCAAAACAACCAAAATCTCACTTCTTGAGATGAAGTATGACTAGAACCCTAGATAACCTATAGATGTAACCAACCTCTAATCTCACGCATTCTCTAACTCTACATTTTTACTGACCAGATATTTTCAAAACTTCCATGATATCGTAAAAGGGTAAATTTTATAAGTAATAACAAATACACTTTTAAGAAAAAACCATAATAAATCAACAAAGGAATTTAAGGTAAGAGTATATTTTGTTCGTATCCACCCTAAGCTTTAACACACCACTAAGTTCAAGTGATTACATGCAAGGGCTTGTGTGCCATTTAAAACTATTAAAAAAATTAGATCCAATTTATTGTCTTGATTTCCGTGTTGATATGCTAATTTTTTTTGTTATTAATGTGAAAGATATTATATCATATAAGATTATTAAAAAATCTCCACTTATTTAATTTTGACTCTTGGTAGAAGATATATTTCCTTATAAAAATGACTTTATCATTATTAAGTATCCAATGATTAACGATAAACCTCATTTTTTGGTTTATTGGAAGAATAAGCCTCCTGTAGATGACCCCAGGCTAACTCCACACTGACTTGGAGATCCTAGCATCATAACTGGTAGAAGTCCTTTTGAAACATCAAGCGAAAAATTCAAAGTAAGTCATTGAACTCAGTACAAGAGGAAGAGCAAAGGCTCAAGAAAGAACAAGGTTATAAATGACAGCCTGTTTCAAAGCCTATGATAAAGCTCAAAATTTAAATTATCTAAATGTAGTTTTATTTTCTTATTTTACATTTTTTAAGCCCTTTGAAACATCTATGGCCAATCATCTTAATAAAGGAGAATGAAAAATAAGTATACTAATGAAAATATTGAAAATCTCCTTCACTAAGTGGCCGCTCTTTCTTCCCAGTTTCCCCCCATTTTTTCTTTCCAAAATGAGAAAAATCAAGACTTATTTTTTGCTTATAAATAGGAGCTTATAATAATGAAATTTTTAGTATTCAATGAAATCTTTTAAGTGAAGATTGCTCTTTTTTTTTAGAATCTGCCTTGGAAGATTTCTTTGGTAAAATAATGTAATTATCATTTTATTTTAAGCTAAAATATTCTCATCAAGCAAAAGCCTTCCCCAAAACATCTTGACAACTTCCTCCACATCGTAAGCCTACTCCAAGGTCAAACACCAACAAACTAAAGTATCACAATCACTTCAAAAACTAGCTTGTGGCTCTTGGCCAAACTAGGTAGGAGTAGAACCTACTTTCGTTCCCTACTCCTCAACATCTGCTTAAAATCTACCAAACCTAACCATGTAATCTATATAAAAATTACATCCCAAGGTAACCCTACATAGGCATTTCAAGTAATTTGCACTCTAAAAACCCATTTTCAAAAATGGTTTTTTAAAATATCCAAAGTAAACCAATTTGAACTAGTTTTAACATCTCTACCAATACAACCCTGATTAAATAAAGATCCTTTGTCATTTCTAACCCTTGATCTCACAATAAGACTATTCACCGCCATCAATCAATATGTTGATTTTCCTTTACCTTGGCTTCAAATTACATATTTTTTTCATTTATATTTCCATTATGTATGCGAGAGAACTTACATAATCTAATATGTGTTTGTAATGATAATATTCTTAATACTATAGCTTTTGTTTTTATTATTTCTGCTTACTATCATGTCATGGGCATAATGAAATGTAATTTGATTTTATTCTTGCATGCATAATAAATATCATGATCTTTCTTGACTATACCCACTAATAGTTTCTGCAACATACACATAACCTGGAAAACCCTTAACCATATTTATATCCCTCCCTTTCTTCCATTGGCATATAAAGCTTCAGAATGTCGCACAAGTTCAATTTGTGAGATGATTATTCATCCAACCTAAAAAATTGAGTTTATATTTAAAGATAGCATTCTCTAGAACTTATAGCCTTGTCTTTAAACGTTCTTGCAGATTACATTCATCATTTTCAAATATTACTCAATTATTTATTTAAATGATAGCCACCTTAGGAGATAACCAATGATCTTGTTATAGTATCATTTTCATCATTAGGTCCTTCACTAGCTATCAATTTGATATAAAGGTGCATTATTATTGGCATTAACCTTAGGTGATCATCCTCCACAGCTTTAAGATCTTCACGAACATGGACCTCCAACAATGATTTACGGTATTGAACAAAAGCTCGTCTCAACCCCCCTCCATGGTTAACTTGTCAGGAAAGAGATTTTATACTTCTGAGAATGATAGGGGACTTCCACGACCAATAACATGATCAATCTCTTCTAGCATAACTTGTCATTATTCAATTTGTGTTGAGAACTATGACCGCCCTTTATTTATTTCATCACAAGCATCCAAGAGAAATGCCAAGCCCATTATAAAATAAGAAAATAAAGTAACCACTTCAACAAGAAGTTTATAGAGTTTCCTTTCAACCTGATATATTATATGGATTTAAGTAGTTAAAATGCCAAAGCTCCTATCTCTTTCTCCTAACCTAATCACTCCTCTCTCTCTCTCTCTCTCTCTCTCTCTCATTCCCTTTATTTCTACCATACCTTCTCTGTCTGAAGGCTTTAAATATCATCAGTAGGAAGCTAATAAAACATAATCAATCTGTAATAATCAGCAAGCAATCATTATAGCAAACTAAGCAATGTCCTTTTTAAACAAAGATTCCTAACAGCATATAAATTAATTAATTCCAAGGTCATTTCAGTTTTTGATTAATTTACATGAAAACTATGTTTTAAAATGATTCCTTCAAAATTTGCCTATGCTTGCCATTATGAAATAAAACCAGAACGAGAAGTTTAAATTTTTAGATCTAATGTGCATCTTAGTTGCTAGTAGTTACACATAAATGATGTCAAAAATATTATAGCACAAATAAATATGAATGGTGCAAAGTGTTGTTGCCAATCAAGATTGCGTAGAAGTTATATATTTTTTCTTTCAGAATGCAAATATGCCTAAAATATGAACAAGCCTAAATCGCAAACAAAAACTTGAAACAAAGTAGCAAATAAATATACTGTTTAAAAGTACAAATATTGAATTAGTATAGCTTGAATTACCAATAAGTCTTTAGTCCTGGGATGCTTTTTTGTAGAAAAGAGAATACCTGGATAAAAATGCTTTAATCATATATCTTCGGAAAGTTCACGAAAGATTGAGACAGAGAAATCACAATATCAATCTACAGTTTAGGGTAGAAGTTAATAGATGGCTAGCATCCCCTTTCAGTAGCAGCCAAAAAAGAAAAGAAAAAAAAAGAAAAAAAATATTGTAATAATGAAGATTATTCAAGACTTGAAATCAAACAAAAATAAACAAATCCAGCAAGAGGTCAAAGAATTTTATCGTAATAACACGTCATACTCAAATTGATGTCGACAATGGGGAATACAAAAAAAGTTGTTTCATGTTAGTCGATGTTTTCAAAACCTTTACAATTGGATCCTCGAGTGTTATGATGCTTTTCAATGGATTCCTTCAGAGATTGATCTTTTAGAAACTCTCCAGATTCATAAATGCCCTTAACTAAAAACGCAAGTCCGTGGATGTAGTTGAAACAAACAAGAGATCACAGCTGGAGTTCCATCATTACACTTCACAACTCATTCTCCAATGAAAAAGCAAGCTATTTTTGTGTTTATGTGGCATGGAAATAAAGGCAACAAGTTATTGATAGAGGGCAAATTTCTCAACAAAATAAGCTTAAGTTCCAATCACAGCTTCAGATGAGTTCATTGATAAATTTCATCTACTGTTTTCACAGGCATTGTTTTTTGTTTTCAATTATTTTAGAAACAATATGATGGCATCATCCCCGAGGTTCTGCACAATGTTTGCGCACAATAATGTACTTTGTTCAATCTTAGTTTTTGATGATTTTGAGGTTTTTTGTTGATGATTATTTTAACTTTTTTGATTGGGCTCAGCATTGATTTTGCACAATGTTTTCTCAGCATTGCATCCGATCTAATTTTTCTTAAGGAACAAAGAATATCATTACCTAACTATTAGGTTAGAAATTATTGAGTAGCTATAAAATATTAAGTAATTTAACCTTCAATTTTTTATCATTTGTTACATTTGATTATGATCAGGCACTTAATGAAGTTACGTCTCAATCCAGTTGTGCACATGAACTATATAAGCCCTTTCTTAACACTGGCATTCTACCGTGTCGCATGGCCACTTTCCATTAATGCTTTATCCAACTAGACTTGTAAAAATCAGATGTCACTCACAGTTTTTCTAAAGACAACCAAACCAATGCCACCTCACCTGTCATAGCCTTCCTCATCTTCTAGCTCTCTTCCCGTCCCTTTTCTATGCTTGTCCTCCACTCTGCCACTACTACTAAGATGATGGCCTCCCTTGAAAAACCCACCACCGAGAAAACCCCCCGCCACAATTGTCATCATAAATCCCTTCAATTTTATGGAAAGTATGCCATTGATACTCCATCCACAGCCTCACCATCGTTATCCTTTGTATAAACTTTCACTAGGAAGAGCAGAATCCTTTAAAGGAAGATTTACATACATACCACTCAATTCCTATGTATTTACATATCTAACATCTAAACTTAAATTTTTACATCATGCCACCTTAATTATGCATGAAAGGATGTATTTCACTTTTAAAAGTTTAAATGATGGTATTATTGATGTGATATGAAAGATTTGATGGTATTAATGTACAAAGTATAGGTGTTAGATATGTAAATACATAGCAATTAAGTGGTATGCATTCAAATGCACATTCAAATAAAAAAAAATTTGTTCACTTTTGTGAATATATTTCGTATATTTGGATCAAATATACAAAACATAAAAACATAAACCCAAACCCCATCACCCCACCATGCAACAACACATCTCCACCATGAACAAAGACTTTCACGTTGCAATCGCCAACACTTATATGTACACAAACCCATCAAATACAACAAAGACCACCAACCCTCCAAAAGTTTCCTCAATTAATTTGTCCTCACGTTCAACCCCTACTCTATGGTCATCCTTATCGACAGAGAATTCCCTACGCCCGCCCGTAATCATTTCATCCTTTTTTTGTGCTATGTTTCAAGGCTCTATAGCTGCAATGAATGAGTTGCAACAAGAAACTGCAAGTTTATAGACTAAGGTGTTTGGGGCAGCTGCAGCTAAATGAATAATCTGCTGATAAGTAGCTAATCCCGATAAGCTGCTGATCAACAGCTTATCCTGATAAGTTGTTGATCAGCAGCTTATCTGGATAAGCTGCATGGTTGTTTGAAAAACAGCTGATTTGCAGTTGTTTGTGGATAAATAATCATTCTGCCCCTATTAAATAATGTTGTTTGCAATAGAACTGTCTTGGCAATATATTAGATACTAGAGAAGCAGAAAAGTCATACAAAATAGGAAATAAACCAATGAAATAACACTTATCATTACTCAAGCTGTCTTTTGTTGATTGTATTTAAATGCTACACCTAACTATTTATATCTTAATAAATAAGTTTCACCCACCAAAGTTATTATTTCTAAACTCACACCTGTTAATTTTTTTAATACTTTGTAAGTAATCAATTATGCATCATTGAAAGAAGAGTTCCCATATTCATGATTCACATAAGGGTGCTCAACGTTATCACTATTTAATTTACTTAAATATTCATCCCTTTTATTATCATTTAATTATCTCTACCATCATGTTTATATTTCTTGCAGCTAATCTAAATACATCAACCTCTTCTACTCAAGCAGACGGGCTGCAACACACCCGACACGCAAAGATTCAGATTCATGAATAATCAAGTAACTCCTTCCGCAACAGAAAGCAAGCCACAAAATTAAGATCAATAAAATGACACGCACATCAACCAAAAACTGCATTGATATCCCCAAAACTACGCTTATTTAATTTACGCTAAAGAATTCAAAAACCAAATCATGATATTCCTGTCATGAAACCCCACTCACTGCACATCCTTACCAAATTGACCATAAATTCAAAAGCAGAAACAAATCAAGAACCGCATAACCACAAGAAAACGAATGAGAAACCTCTTAGAATACCTCTCGGGCTCCATCATCGCTGTGATATAGAAGAAAAACCTCTACTACTCTTCTTATCTGCCTTGAACTCTAGGGTTTCGCTCAGTGCGTTCGAAGATTAAAGGGTGAGAAGACGGAGCGAGGAGACGGAGATTAAGGCAAAAACGAGGGAGAGAGGCAAGGGAGAATAGAAGCAACTGCAATCGAGCGGGGGAGAGTGGCACGCGAGGAAATAAATAGATGAACATAGATGGAAGTGCGTGTCGCGGGGTCGATCCCGCATCCCACGTTATTATAAAACTTAAACCGTGTTTTCACTGTCGTAGTACAAACGCACGAAACAAACTACAGGCTGGCGTTTTCAAAACCCCAATTGCAGTTTTAAGCTGCGCCAAACGGACTCTATGAGAGCACTTTCAGACCTTGAAATATTCAAAGTATAATCAAGGATCATGAATATGCCATGTGATTCAACTTAATGGCTATTTTTTATAGACAGTAAATTAAAGGTGCAGTTTTTAATACAAACAATTAAGTTAGAGAGCCCAAGCAAATGAGAAGCCCTAAGAACCCGATTGCAGAGTTTTTAAGAATATGGGGTACCTTGCAGTGACCTTCTAACCTTAGACCCAGGGAATTTATATATATAATTTAAAATAAGGGTCATTTAGATACAAACCACCCTATTCGTATGTATTTACATATCTAACAACTAAAATTTAATTTTTACATATAAACCATCCAAATCCTTCACATCACATAAAAAAATCACAATTTTAACTTTGCATAGGTAACGTGGCGTGTATGTAAAAATTGAACTTTAGGTGTTAGATATGTAAATACATATGAATGGTGTGCTATTTATGTAAATCATTCTTAAAATATATTAAAATGAACATACCACACTCCCAAAAAAAAAAAAAAAAACTTTTTGCCGCTTCTTTTTTCAATCTATAAACACAACAGAAGAAACAAAACAATGGCATCCCAGTGCAATCAAGCAATGAATAAAATAACTTCAGTTAGTAATTGAAAGAATGTCTTCACCATTGCTAACTAAGTTAATACAATAATATGTAAATAATGTGATTACTCCTAAATATCAGGGAGCTTCCTGCAAAGAACTTTATCCTAGCACAGCCAAATGATAGTGATAACATTAACGTTTAAATAATAATTGAAAGTATGGCTAATTTGATTGCTTGCAAATAGAAAAGTACTTCTAAAAATAATGATTTTAGTTTTTTTGGTCATTTTGTGGGCCAAAAATAAAATAATTATGTTTGAGAATTTCTAGTAGGTTGGTGGAGTTATAAAATCAAAGTTTGTTTATGAACTTAACAAGTTTCACCCATGTTGAAACAATGTTCTTCAACTTCCAGTAATCATACGAACCAAAAATTAAATTAATGTAGTTGTATAAGAACATTGATGAAAAACCTCAAATAATGAGGCGATTAAAAAAAACTTACTTATTAGGAATAAAAATGTCAGACAGAAATAGATCACAGAGAAAAAAAATTGTGCCCATCCCACTTTTATCATTTACTTCGTACTGACAACGTATTTTTATGCCTCAAGGATGATGCCAAAAAAAAATTAACTCCATTATAAGAGCTATTGTAGACAAAGCTGTATCACTAATAAAATTTTCAATTTTTTTTTGGATTAATTGACTGAATAATCCATATGTTAAAACAGGCTAATAATCTAAAACATGTGCACCTTTACATCTGAATCTGTTATAATGGCATAAACTAGATTACTAAATGATCAGGCAATGATAATGTTTTAATTATAAAGCACTAACATCTTGACGATACCATTGTGATTCGAGACAGTAATTGAAGGTCTTATCCAATAAGGGCATCTATGTAACCGAAACCCCCTTAGCATACATCTGAAAAAATAAGTTACTAGTAAATAGGTAACATTTTAGCAGAAATAAACAGTAAAGGTCCCGAAAACTAAAAAAGCAACTTAAAAAGCATTAATTACCTACGACCTGGTTGATTTTCTCCATTGAAATATGTTAATATGCGCTCAAAATATTTGACATATCTCTGAAAAGAATTAAAAATTAGAAATTGCTGAGAATTACTCTGGGAAACTGAGAATTTGGACAGAAAGGTATAGACTAACAATCTGACTTGGGAGAACAAGACCCTTCCCATCTATGCATCTTTTCTGGTTGTAATACTCGATTGACTCCTCAGCAGTTGGGAAGAACTGCAAAATAGATGGATATTAAATGCGCAAATACTAAGATACACCATCCTGCAATCACTGTGAGAAGAATTTAATAATAATAAATGTTGGCAAATTTACATACATAGTACACAATTATTATGTATTTACATATCTCACAGCTAAACTTTCATATTTACAAACATAGTACTTTGGTGCTTTAAACCTACGCATGAAAAGGTGAATTTTACTTTTAGGAAGTGATAATAGTGCTATTTTTTATGTGATATTAAAGATTTGGGTGCTCTGTGGGTAAATATGAAAGTTTAGGTATGAGACAGATAAATACATAAGAATCATGTGCTATGTATGTAAATACCACAAAAATATTTTACCTTCAGATATAAAAGAAGGCTAGATATCATCAAGCCTGTCCTTGCCATACCAGCTTTGCAGTGCACAACAACAACGTTTTCAATGTCTTCCTTCAACCAGTTATAGGCACTTTGACAAAATAATGTCACAAGTTCAAGTGGAGGGCAATTATGATCATCAAATGGGAAACAAGCAACCTAAGTTATGGAAAATATGTCAAATCCACAGAACATAACAAGATTTCAGTTAATTCTAGTACAATAAAAAATACAGAATTTCAATCAGAAATGAAGATAAGAAATGAGTATGATGCATTTCCACCTATGAAAACAAATGAAAGTGCAGTTCTCGTTTTGAGTAGTCTATCATAAGAAAATATAACCATGTATGGAAGGAATATTTTAATTTTTTATTAAATCGAGAGGGCTAAATGCATAGTTGGATTCTTAGTGTTGGCAGCCAATGAAGCATGAAAATGATGATGAGATACAAGATACAAGCAAAGAACAAGCATGAAAGACTAAAACACATAAAACAGGGGAATAGATAGAGAATGCATCGCACATTTAATGTCTCATATCTTCCACAATGCATGATGGCATTCATTTATGTATAGTTGTCACTGCTCTTTATTGATGAGCACGAGATAAAAGTTTATTGAGCCATTTGGGATCACTGAATCACTTTTTTTTTTTTTTTTACTTTGTTTTCATTTTGATATACATATTTGACTATTTGATTAAAGTATGAATATTTTTAAAAACATCCAAAACACTTAAAGGTTATTTTGAGTGTTTCCAAAAACATGTTAATTTATTTTTAGAAACAAAATATTAAAACATGTAAAACAAAATAAGGGGCCATTTGGGATAGCTTTTGATTTTTTTTTATTTAAATTTTGATTTAATAAAAAAATGTTTAGAATGATATAACATGTTGGTTGTTTTCAAAAACACTCAAAACAATTTTTGTAAAAACAAGAAAATTTGTTTTTAAAAACAAAAAATAAATACATACAAAAAATATACTAAACAAATATATTTAGAAAAACCATAAAATAAAAGCAAAAAACAAAAATAAAAAATAAAAAAGAAAAGTGATCACAAACAAGACTTAAATAAACATGTGTTTAAAAATAAAAGAAAAGCAAAAAATGATCCCAAAAAAGCCGTGTTTTCTGATTCATACGGTTTGGTAAGATCATCTAGAACCTAATATCATAATAATTTGTCTATATTTGGATGGCTTTTGCCAACAACTTAAGAAAAAAAAATGTTCCAACAATGCATGACAATAAAATGTGATATGCATGCACAAACCGCTTTAAAACGATAAACAAAGATCTAAAGGGTAGACACTGAAAAGAAAACGTGTGATCTTAAATTCTACTGGATTAAAGTGGTGAAGAGATCCTTCGTCCACATTAATGAATTATAAAACTTTTCACAACAATAATATGTTAAACAAAATGAGCCACCCAGATAATGCACCTGCTTCCAAAGAAAACTTCCAATTTGCAATTTGCTTAGAAAAGACACTAAGATATTGTTACCTTGCCCTCAAGTAGTGATGCGTCATAGAGCCTCTCTGAACAAAGATTGTATACTTTGTACTTCCCCTGTGAATATAAAGTATAATAAGTAAGCAGTCCTTATCAGAATGATACCTGAATACGTCATAACTGATACTTTGAAAGTGAGAAGCAAAAGAGCAAACAATTAAAGTTCAAACAAATTCAATGAAAAAGAAAAGCTTTGTGAACAACAATAATATTGCATATTGACCATTATAAAATAGCAAATCAAGATAACATCTATACTTTTTATAAGAAAAATGACAACTGTTGGCTTAGAATCTAACTCAGATAATAACAACAGAGCATATTACTATCTAATACTATATATTCACAGCTCCAAATCATAACATTGGCAGCAGAAATACAGCTATCAACATAACACATATAAGGAGCTTACATTGATCATAAATTGTATTACCAACAAAAAAAATGACAAAAATAACAAATCAGTGATATAATATTTCAAAAATAGAAAAGTTATGCAATACAACATAATTCAAAGAACACCACCAAAATTCAATGCATTTCCAAACAGAAACTTAGAGATTGCATTTAAGATTAATCTCATGTGTACGGGTTGGATTGTAATAATCATTTTAGAAGATGTTACCAGAAATAATAAATTACTTATAACCAGTGATGTATATTAAAGAATAAAGGATAAGAAGTCATTTAAGTAATGGTTTCCTCATAAAATATTTATGGAAAAGATCCCACAATGAAATATTTACAGAAAGAGACAAAATGATGGAAAGTACTGGGGTGTAATATTCTTACATTTGGAGAAATATAGATTATAACAAATATAAATCCAACAACTCAATAACAACCAATAAATGTATTAACAAAACGCCAAGATGGAATAAATAAATAATAAGAACATAAACTTTGCACAGTGATTCCATGTGTTTCGCTACAAGCTTTACACTTTAAAAAATGCAAAGTATTTAACAACCTATTATTGGTCTACAATTCACTATTTAAATACAGAAAATGGCCACCTATTAAGACTAGGTTTAAACTTATTGAAGGATAACTAAAGACTCCATAGATTTAGAACTACAGGCATACAAAGCTGTTTTTATACATAAATCCTCACTACATTACTGTTACCTTCCAGCTCCACCTCAACGTCAGTCTAATTCATGCAATGCATTCAATTTACTAAAATTTTTATCAATTCTACTTTAGATGGATTTAACATTCACTTCAAATAAAACTAGTTAAATACCTCTTCCTTGAAAACACCTACCCTCAGTTCTATAAATTACAATTTTATCAGTCCACACACTGCAGAAAATTGACATGTGTATATAAACGCCAATGATATTTGTGGTGGTCTTAAATAATAAGATAATATTATTGGAAAGTAGCACACATACTTCCAGCGTCATCGGTACACCAACATTGCAAACATTGCCAACACTTCTAGCCACCATCCTTCCAAGTTGTATTTTATCATAAGAACAACCTCCTGTTCCTTTTGATCATAAGAGACACGAGAGCCCGTACATGGCGTAGGAAGATGATCTCTTAAATGTAAGAAAATTGGCCATATGATTTAAGCCTATACTTCTTATAATAAAAAAGAGTAAATTACAATTCACATACCTTTTTTACAAGATACTGGAGAAGAAAAGTCATACTTGCAAAGCTACCATTTCCTTTATGCCTCTTATGCCATAATCAAGAAGAATGATCTTTGTAAAGCTCTTGATTAGTATTGGAGCAAAGAATTGCTTCATAGAAATTCTTTCATCAATCTTGGGTCTTTAATCAGATGTAAATCCAAAGAAATTCTTGATTCTCTTATTAGTAGAGGTTGTATGAAGTTTGATGGCTTTTACTTTATAGCAAATAATTCGACTAAAAATATTTGCGTCTCCATTAGTAATACGAAGTGATGCAGTACAAAACTTTAAAAAGGCCAAACCAATTCACAAAGCTCAATTAGCCATAGGAAACTAATTAAAAGTCAAAACATGCCATATCAAATTTGAATCAAGCCTATTTCTATTTGCGGTCAATTTTTTTTTGTTTATCATTTGAATTATTTACTAGGTTTTATATTTATTTGGATAAGAATATATTTAAATCTGAATGTTTGTTAGAATTGGATAGGACTAGATTTTCACTAAAATGTTCAGTCATATCCTGGTAACCCGGTTTCTATAACTAGAAAACCAAGATGTGAAATTAACCATTATTATAGATTGATGATTGAATGAATGTAAACTATTTGAGCCAATTAAATGCTCTCCAAACCCTTGACAACCTTGTAGATTTGCACCCTGATCCTCGTGCTCTTCATGCCTAAAAAATTATTCATGGCCAATTACATACTCTATAAATCCTAGAAAACTCTACAGCTTCTATTGCTCATCTTAGACATCTTTATAGCTCCGTTCCCTCATCTTCATGCTCCTAATGCATTACAATCTGAACCCTCCCAAGCTCAAACACATTTACTGCCCTGTAAAAACCCACAACAGTGTGGTCATTCTCAGTTGCACTTAGCATGTCACCAACTCAACCATTCCTCTCCCAAATCTATAATGCTCCTTCAGAGTGCTCTTGTGCTTTCCTCTACTTAACATCTACCTAGGATCTTTATTACTCGTGTCCACGTGACGTGCAGTACTTCTACAATGTGCATGCACATGAGTGCTCTTCTGCAGCAATGCTATGGTTATAAACCTCATTGAAATTGCTCGCTCCTTAGCACTGTGTGTGTATTGCCTCTCCTTCTCCCCACACATCCAATGATCTCACCTATAGCATTGTTTTTCTCCACAAGTGGAGATCTGCCAAACAATTATTTTTGCATTGTTTTCTATTTTCTAATTAACTTTGTGATTGCACTGGACTCTATGACTATCCATTTGTCATCAAACTTTATAACTACAAACAACTAAGAAAATGTCTTTTACCTCATTAAGATCACAACTTTCTCGCATTGGACCTTATTGTAATAAGGTAATAATCTCTGTAATGCTAGAATAATTATTTATTTATGATAAATCATATATAATGCATGAACAACAAATTAGTTAATGAGACTTATAATACTAACTAGCCAGTTGTGTAGCTCGCCATACCCAGTGAGACTTACACACATGAACTAGTGCTCCATATTATAATAAGACAAAAAGGATTTATGGAAGAAACCTTTGAGTTCATACATTATTCCCATATTGTGAATGTAAGATAAATCTGGACACGTGTTCATAGTCATGTAATTAGAAAACTACTATAAAGTATAGATTTCTTATACTAGATTGAATGGCATGCTTACATGATGACTGGGTTATCAAACTTTTCAAAAAAAATGATTTGAGCAGCGTGTACCATCAAATCCAAATTCATTCACGACACCTTATGAGTTATTTGAATAGTTTATTATTCCATTTGGAGAATGCAATCATTACCTTCATAAAATTAACGAACTAGGGGTTTATGCAATTCCTGTTGGTGTACATCAATGACATATTGATCATAGCACAATAAAGGTTGAGCATTTGGATCACTTGCATCAATTATCATCTAAGTTAAGAAATCAGAAGTTATATATTACTCTTAAGAAACGCACGTTTAGGCTAAAAAAAATCATATTTCTTGTTTTGTGATGCCTTCCAAGAATCATGAAGTAAATCCCTAACAAATCAAGGCAATCCATAATCTGTTGTCCATTACTGTTACCTCTAATACTACAAGTTTTTATGGCTTAGCAAAATTCTATAGAAAATTCAATAACCTTAGCATCATCACCAACCCCTTGACAAATGTTCTGAGAAGGGGCAAGTTTGAATGAACATCATCTGCAATCAAAGCCATATAATAAAAAAATTAATTACTAAATCGCCAATTCTAAGATTCCTTGGCCTTGGGAAAATTTTTCAGTATTTATAATGTTGGTGTAGGTGTCATTCTTAGCCAATGTCACACAGTCGCTTAGTAAGAAACTCAATGAGAATACAACAACAAAAACAACAAAGCCTTAATCCCACTACATGGGGTTGGCTACATGAATCCTTTTTCTCCATTGCGTCCTATTTAGTGTCATATTTTCATTAAGTTCAAGTAAATTAAGATCATTTTTTATACAATAAGCCCAAGTCTTCCTAGGTCTACCTCTACCTTTCTTAACACAAGTCAATCTAAAACATCTACTTTCCTAATCGGATCATCCGATGGTCAACGTTTAATGTGACTAAACCATCTAAGACGACTTTCTCTAATTTTGTCCGTCACAGGAACTACACCAACCCTATCACGGATATATTCATTTCGCATTTTATCTCTAAAGTGTAAAGCCACTCATCCACCTAATTATTCTCATCTCGGCAACACTTAACTTATTATTATGCTTCTCTTTTAAAGGCCAACATTAAACGCCATAGAGCATTGCAGGTCTCACCACCGTCTTATAAAATTTTCCTTTCAGTCTAAGCAGTACTTTTCTATCACACAAAAGGCCCGAAGCACTCCACCTCAACCAACCAACTTGAATTCTACTATTAATATCCCCATCTATGTCACCATCGCTTTGAACAACGGACCCAAGATATCTAAATTGTTCACACCTTTTAATAATTTGATCACCCAAAGTCACACTTCTGTCACTAGAGCTATTACTACTAAAATTACATTCCATGTATTCAGTTTTAGTTCCACTTAAATGAAGGCTTTTAGACTCCAATCTAGATATCCATAATTCAAGTTTTTCCAGGGCTTTTTCTCTTGTTTTATCCACGAGAAGGATATCATCAGCAAAAAGCATACACCAAGGTACATCCTCCTGTAGATGTTTAGTAAGACAATCCATAACTAAAGCAAAAAGATATGGACTTAAAGCCGATCCCTGATGTAATCCAACAGAAATAGGAAAATATTTGGTCAATCCTCCTTCAGTTCGAACACGAAGGTACATCCTCCACTTTAACATCGAACCACTATATTACTAATTGCTTTTTCTAAATCAATAAAAATCAAATGTAGATTCTCCTTAGTATCTCTGAAATTCTCCATCAAACCTCAATAAA